GGAGTCAAACCAGCGACCTTTTTGCTGTGAGGTGACAGTGCTAACCACTGAGCCACCTTGTCGCCTCTCAGTGCTTATATGTGAGATAACAAAGTGCCAGTTTTCTAGATCTGGGCCTACCAGGTCTTTGGTAATACTACTTGTACTTAAAAAAAACACACAATACATTATTGTTTTATTTCACTTACTGACCTGGTTCCAGTTCTTTTAACAACTTGGTAGTACTGGGTATTTTGTGACAATTAACAAACTACTGTAATAGCCACAAATATTTTGCTAAATATTTTATTATTAATATTCCTAATTCTCATTTAAGAAATTTCTGAGAAAGAGAACAGACGGGGAAATTTACTATTGGTAAAGTTAACCCAATAAAGGCAGCATTTGTCTGTTCTTTAGATAACAATCAGAAAATGAAACTGTTGACATTAAATGTGACTTCTTGCGTTGTCTGGTTTTAGTGCGTGTTTTGTAATCTGTCATTTCTGTTGTTTTTTTTTTCCTTTGACACAATTTGTTGAAAATAGCACAAACCACAGACCAGATCTCTCCACAATTGCAAATTCACACAAACTGCAAAGAACGATACTTTTCTTTTTTAATCATCACAACACACAGTGACATAAAAAATTAGTTATTAAAAATATAAAAACTGGTAAAAACAATATGCTTTTTTGCTAATTATTTCAGCATCTTTATTTTGTAGGTTGTGTGCATTCATTTCTTTAAGCAACCATAAATATATCCATAAGATAACAATGTTCGGTATTTCATGATTTTCTTCTTCTTCTTCTTTTTCTTCTTCTTCTTCTTTTTTTTCTTCTTCTTCTATTTCTTCTTCTTATTATTATTTTTTATTATTATTTTTTATGATTATTATCATCATCATTATCATCATTCTTATTATTATTATTGTTATTATTATTTTTATTATTATCACCATCATCATCATTATTGTTGTTGCTATTATTATTATTATTATTGTTATTATTATTATTATTATTATTATTATTATTATTATTATCATCATCATTATTGTTGTTGCTAATATTATTATCATTATTCTTATTCTTCATTCATTTTCTTTTTGGCTTAGTCCTTTTATTAATCTGGGGTCGCCACAGCAGAATGAACCACCAACTTATCCAGCATATGTTTTATGCAGGGGATGCCCTTCCAGCTGCAACTTATCTCAGGGAAACACCACATTGGATACCATTAAGATTTCCACATTTTTGTACGTGTTTTCCGATTATCAGAGCTTTTGTAGATTAAACACATGGTTGCCAGGTTGAAACGATCAAGTCAAATTATGGGCAGAGGAACTCTGCTCTGGCAACCCTAAGCATGACAGCGAGTAATATTCAATGCCAGACATGGAAAATAATCAGCTGGCCAATCAGATTCATACTTTTCAAGAATACTTATCCAAGGTAGTTCACAGAACTGGTTATGACCACCCACACACACACACACACACACACACACACACACACACACACACACACACACACACACACACACACACACACACACACACACACACACACACACACACACACACACACACACACACAAAAGATTTATTGATTTGGTTCAATTCAAATAGCAATAGAGTTTAAATGGCAAAAATTATTCTTGTTAATATTTAAAAATGGCAGTAGAGAGTATAATTTCAAACAGACTAGATCTGGAGCTCAAGCAATGTCCAAGTGTGACTCTGGTTCCAAGATTATGGTTATCAGAATGTGGAAGAAGAACATATTTAATTGCTGTTCCTATACTGCTGGAAGAAGTGTATTAGGTTAAGAATGAAATGACAGCATAATGGTGTTACTTTGATGATTGTTGTGGACTTTATTTATAATTGATGTAGTGCGGAGAAGGGGTAGGATTAAATAAGCATGTGCTTCTTACTTTTTTTTTTTTGGACATGTGTGAGTGTAAGTTGTATTATGTTCAGGGTTCAACGCTAAGAATGTTTTCTACTGGGCCAACCGGGTTAGTGGTTGAGATTTTTACTTGCCCTGCCAAAGTTTTTACTGCTCCATCCCCCCCCACACACACACACACAAAAAAGAAAGTAAATAGCTATTTCCTAGCCACATATTTTAAATAATGTGGCAAAACAATGTTTGTGAATCTAGAATTTAAACATTTTAAAAATGTTAACAAATGTATAATGAGCAAAATTCAAGGTTTTATGCAAACGAAAGAGCAGTATAGAAAATGTGCTGCTATTTTATTGCAATTCTAAAGTATTTTTATAAAAATGGATTGCCAAACTTTTCCTATTTTGCACCCATGTAATTGTCTGCTTCCAAGATATTAGAAACAGGCACTTTCTTTCAGCCTCATAATTTGATGTTGCCGCCATGTTGCCATCTTTTCACTGTACTGGTTGTTACATAAATTTACTCATTTATTTATTTGTTTTTAATTTTTTTATCTTAAAATGTTCAAAATAAAGTGCAGTTGTAACCAAGGAAATACTATTACTTCTAATCCTACAAGCGCCACCTGCTGGAAAAGAATGATATTTTTAACCATATTTTGTACCAGTGTATGTAGCACTATTTCACTGTCAGATTGTTGTTGTATTTTTTTTTCTTCATGTTTTGAAATAACACAAAATATTTGGAATCTCTAACTATCCAATATAATGTATGTTGCTTTTGTGTGGATCATGATTTGAAATCACTGCAGATTTAGCCTGGGTTACAGCAACCAATTTGTTTTTATATTGTTTTTTTTTTTTTTATAAAAAAAAGAATATTGAATTACTCCCCAAGAAGTTACTAGTTGTGTTACTTAGTTATTACGCATTACGTTACTTTTAAGTTACTTTTGCGTTACTTTTTATTACCTTTATTACTGATGGCTTGATCTCTTAACTTTTCTTTCTTTACTTTTATTTCTTTTTTCTTTTTTAACACACGAGTTCTGCAATAAACAATGCACTGTATGACCTACATCTTTTAAAAAAAAATATATATTATTTAAGGATGATATCTGAGAACTTCCTGACCGCAGAGCTCTACATGCCTTATACAGATTATTGAAAGTTTAAAGCAATGTGTTTGCTACTTTTGTACTATTTGTCCTAAGTAATATCACTGTCCATTGAGACAATCCCATTTTTCTTTTCTTCGACGTGTTCAAGATAATGAGCACATTCTCTCATTGACTGTGAATTTTAATTCAACAATTTATTTTTTAAAAACAAATGAATTAATATCATAATATACATTCACGCTGCCCACCTGAATTATTAGCTCCCTGTTTATTTTCCCCCAATTTCTGTTTAACAGAGAGAAATAATTCTCATCATTTTATTTTCTAAAAATAACAGTTTTAATAACTCATTTGTAATAAGCAATCTATTTTATATTTGCCATGATGACAGTAAATAATATTTGACTAGATATTTTCAAGACACTTCTATACAGATTAAAGTGACATTTAAAAGCTTAACTAGGTTAATTAGGTTAACTATGCAGGTTAGAGTAATTAGGCATGTCATTGTGTAATGATGGTTTGTTTTGTAGACTACCGAAAAAAATATAGCTTAAAGGGGCTAATAATTTTGTCTTTTAAAATGTCTTTAAAAAAATTCAAAACTGCTTTTATTAAATAGAGGGGAAGGAAATTTTCACTGCATGTCTTGTCTGATAATATTTTGTGTTCTGGAGAAAGCCTTTTTTGCTTTGTTTCGAATTTTTTTTTTTTTGCTTTGTTTAAAATTTTAGAATTAAATTTTAAACACCAATTTAAGGACAATATTATTAGCCCCTTTAAGCAATTTTTTTGTAAGTTTTTTAATGTCACTTTAAGTTATATAGAAGTGTCTTGAAAAATATCTAGTAAAATATTATTTACTGTCATCATGGCAAAGATAAAATAAATCCGTTATTTGAAATGAGTAATTAAAACTATTATGTTTAGAAATGTGTTGAAAAAATCTTCTCTAAACCTTGGACCTCTAAATCTTCTTTAAACAGAAATTGAGGGAAAAAAATAAACGGGAGCTAATAATTCTGACTTTGACTGTATATATGTAGTATCAATAAGAAATAATTTATAGAACAAAATAACAGATAAAAGAAAATAGAGAAACCTTATATATAAAAACATAGAAACAACATAATATAGAAAATAAGTCCAAATATGAAATTAAAAAAAAGAATATCTAGGGAGTGTGCAAACATGCATGAATGTTGTTGGAAAAAAGAGAAACCAAACCAGGAGACTAGACAAGCAGAATTTCTTTATTGAGACCTGTTGGTAAGTTTGCGGTCAAAGAGCATCTTCAAGAAGTCCACGAGTCTGCAACAGCCTACTGGAGTCTCTTACAAACTGATATTTGTTAAAAATGAAGATTCCAACTTGATTTAGGTACATTTTAGTCTCTAACTGGGTCATGGCACCAAAACGGTTGTGAATTGAAGAAGAGACAAACCTGGAGGATTTTTCGGGTTTCTTCAAAGCAGAATTCTTACATGAGAACTCGACATTGCTGTGTCGTTCATCAAAAAATATCGATTACTGCAGCCTGGCACTTAGTTAAATACAAAATTTAGGAGGCAGTGCTTATTAGAAGAAACAGAAGCTGCCATTACAGGTTTAGTAGAAAAATCAAGTTTTCCAGGCCTTGACGGAACGTATCCCCCAGCCATTTGTTAGACAAAATACACAGTCGTGCCTGGAACTTACAATATGCATTACATTGGTGACATGATACTGTATTTCACACATAGATAGTCAGACCTGATGTACCTAGAACTTACAATTTGCATTACTTTGGAGAAACGATACTGTCTCTTAAGCAGGTCGCACACCTGAAGCGCCTGTAAAAGTGTCTAAAAGCCTGTGTAAAAGTGGATTAATGAAAAAAGTCCTTAAATGTCTTGCATGGAAAAACATGATCAGTGCACTAATATTTTCATTACATAATTGCCAACCAAATGCTTATTTATATCTCTTCCGAATGTTTTTGACAGGAGGAGAATGAAGGCCCAGGCTCCCCCTCCACCAAGGCCGCCCCAGCCTGCCCCCCGCAGGATCTTCCGTAATGCGGTCCCTGACGGAGGAGGATCTTCGGGGGGAGACTGCAAGGAAAACATGCTTCGATCTTATGTGGATCTTCATATTAGTCTTCCCACAGGGTACCAGACCACCATCAATGTGGATGGCAGGTGTGTAAGCCCACCACACTGATATTAGCCTAAACATTTCATCATATTTAATACTGAATGCTAATCTAGCTTAGCTTGTGGTACTTTTGATTGAATATAGTTAAAGGTGCAGTAGGTGATCTGCCAAAATGCTAACCGCTTAGCCTATTGTCTTTGGACGGCAGGGAGGGACTGTGATTCAAAGCCACACCCCCTGATATCGCGAGCGCGCGGACCGCGTCACAACAGCCGACAGACAACCCACTAGTTCATGTCATTCGCCAGTTAGTTAGTGCCAGCGCCGTGCAGGAATTACAATTAACTACTTTGCCACACTTGCATGCTATTTCAGAGCGAATATTCAGAGTAACGTTAGCGGTAAACAGTATAGGAAGGCTATCATTGTTCAAAAATGACCCAATGTAAATATAAAAGCAACTTCAGCTCAATAAAGCAGGTTAGGCGGAATAGTGCTATTTACTGGTGTTTTGTTGTTAAACTAAATATAATTCTACATTATAGATGCTGTCCAAGAACCTTATGAAACTGAAAATAATCACATCAATCTTTCACTGGGAGATTTCAGTGGCTGAACAACACGTCTGTACATAGAAGTCATTCATAACAGAACACAATCTAACATAAGCTTAGTCTGACTAAAATAGTTTCAAAACAGAACATTACCTGTTTAACAATATTACTTCAGCCATGGTCTCGTCCTTTCTCCAGCATGCTAAAGTAACTCCAATACTGATTCAGGATTTTCAAAAGTTTCAATGCAGCATTTGATTTCTCCCGGTCCGTCTCGTGACCGCGCGGCCGCTTTAAGGGCGAATTATACCCGCGCCTTGCTTTACAGTAATCGGCCCGAGCTCGTCTGTCCTTCGGCGCCTCCGGCTCCGACTTGGCATCTGCGAGCGGCCCACAGCTTGCTCGCGCGCATGCATTTGTGATGCTGACGGGCACGCGCTAATGGCGAATCTGCGTGAACAGATACGCAGAAGTCGGAATCTACATTTGTTGACAGTCTGACCTGCCTATCGGAATTAAGGGAGATGACGGTCCGACTCTATTTAATTGGATGAACATTTTTTAGTTTTATGCTTTACCCTGAATATAAAAATACATATAAACACATTTAGATCATTTACTGTAATCATTACTATTGGACTGTGAAGAGACTTTCAACCAGCACAACAAAAAATGTTTCTGAAGACAATCACCTACTGCACTTTTAAGACAGGAAACACACTGTCACATTATGCACAATAGCCTTTAGACAAAATACAGGCGGTCGAACGAATGTAACACAGAGGTCATGAGAGGATTTTTTACTTGCTATTTTTCTACATTATTTTTTTATAAACATCGCACAGATAACAGATAACCACAGCTACTACAGATAACCGTCTCTAAAGCTCTAAAGAGATTGACTTAGTCATAAAACTGTAAAATGTTCGCCTATGTGTCAGCTATTATGCACACATTTTAGATCAGCCAATCAAATCAAATGTAAATCACTGTTTCACTACCAAATTGGTTCACACACAACACATGCCGAACTTTGACATTGTACACAGTGACCTTAAGAAAAAGCTAGACAAAATACAGCTGGTGGATGGAATGTAACACAGAGGTCATCAACTGCTTTTGTACTTTCAGTTCTTATTATACATTATTTATCCCACACAAATAATATTTACTTTTAAATAATGGATACAAAAGTAAAAAAAAATAATGTAATTTTAAGAGATTGACCAACAGTCATAAAACCAACTGTAAAATGTCCATCTACACTCACCGACCACCTTTTTAGGTAAGTTTTACTAGTACCGTGTTGGACTGCCTTTTGCCTTCAGAACTGCCTTAATCCTTCGTGGCATACAGTAGAGTAGGTACTGGAAATATTCCTCAGAGATTTAGGTAAATATTGACATGATAGCATCACGCAGTTGCTGCAGATTTGTCGGCTGCACATCCATGATGCGAATCTCTTGTTCCACCACATCCCAAATGTGCTCTATTGGATTGAGATCTGATGATTGTGGAGGCCACTTGAGTACTGTGAACTCATTGTCATGTTCAAGAAACTGATCTGAGATGATTCGCGCTTTATGACATGGTGCATTATCCTGCTGGTAGTAGCCATCAGAAGATGGGTACACTGTGGTCATAAAGGGATGAACATAGTCAGCAACAATACTCAGGTAGGCTGAGGTGTTGACACGATGCTACATTGGTACTAATGAGCTCAAAGTGTGCCAAGAAAATATCCCACACCATTACACCACCACCAGCAGCCTGAACTGTTGATACAAGGCAGAATGGATCCATGCTTACATGTTGTTGATGCTAAATTCTGACCCGACCATCTGAATGTTGCAGCAGAAATCCTGCTGACAGGAGTGGCACCTAGTGTGGTCTTCTGCTGCTGTAGCTTATCCGCCTCAAGGTTCGACATGTTGTGCATTCAGAGATGCTCTTCCGCATACCTCGGTTGTAGCGAATGGCTATTTGAGTTGCCTTTCTATCAGCTTGAACCTGTCTGGCCATTCTCCTCTGACCTCTGGCATCAACAAGGCATTTGCGCCCACAGAACTGCCGCTCACTGGATATTTTCTTTTTCTCACCATTCTCTGTAAACTTTAGAGATGATTGTGTGAAAATTCCCGTAAATCAGCAGTTTCTGAAATACTAAGACCAGCTCATCTGGCACCTGCAAATATGCCACGTTCAAAGTCACTTAAATCACCTTTCTTCCCCATTCTGATGCTTGGTTTGAACTGCAGCAGATTGTCTTGACCCTTTTCACATGCCTAAATGCATTGAGTTGCTGTCATGTGATTGGCTGATTAGAAATTTGCGTTAACGAGCAGTTGGACAGGTGTACCTAACACACTTTAGATCAATCTATCAAATCATACAAATCATAAATGACTATTTCACTACCAAATTAATTCACACACAACATATATCAGGATTTAAGCCCATTTGTTTGTGTAAAAGGTTTGAAATTTTTGAGTTTTTTTAAGCTCTGATTGCAGAGATCATTTTGATAAATGTCAAAAATCTAATAATTCCATGAAAAATTTTCAATGATTCCATGATTTTAAAATAACAATGCAATATCTTATTTAAAAAATAATACCATTTTATTTTTGTTATTATTATTATTATTATTATTATTATTATTATTATTATTATTATGGGTTCCCTGGCTTCTTGAAAATACTTAAAGTACTTACCTTTCAGACATACGGATTGAAGGCCTGGAAGGAACTTAAAACAAACTTTGACTTTTTTCAGTACCACCAGTAATGCATTCAATAAATTTTCTTAAAGTTCTTTGAACACAACTGTTTAAAATGATTAAAGTTGTGGAAAATTACTCTGATATGTTTAATGTAAATATTAAGTGTAGGTCAAATGTTAAGTACAGTAGGTTCTTTCATATGCTGGGCTATGAATTACAAAGCTTGATTTAAAGTTAATGATGCTTTAAGTGTCTGAATATGCTGTTCATGAACACGTGGGAACTCTGATTAATAATAATAATTAAAATATATTTAATATATATCAATATTTTAATGATTGTATGTTGCTACATGAATGCTGAATTCTCTTGTGTTTTGCTGCTAACACTAAAGTGAAAATTATACCACAAGACCATTAAATGAACCACAAATAATAATAATAATAATGTTTAAAAAAAGTAAATAAAATGTATTTATTTCACATGTTTAACGTAATTATTAAGTGTATCTGAAAGTGTAAGTACAGTAAGGACTTTCATGGCTCTACATATGATGGGATATAAATTGAAAATCTTTAACCTAATGATGCTTTAAAAAGTTCTTAAAAGTCTCTGAACTTGCTCTTCATAAAAACATGGAAACCCTGATTAATAATAACAATAATAATTAAATTGACATATCATTCATTCATTTTCTTGTCAGCTTAGTCCCTTTATTAATCCAGGGTCACCACAGCGGAATGAACCGCCAGCTTATCCAGCAAGTTTTTACGCAGCGGATGCCCTTCCAGCCGCAACCCAAACATACATTCACACACACACTCATACACTACGGACAATTTAGCCTTCCCAATTCACCTGTACCACATGTCTTTGGACTGTGGGGGAAACCGGAGCACCCGGAGGAAACCCACGCGATCGCAGGGAGAACATGCAAACTCCACACAGAAATGCCAACTGAGCCGAGGTTCAAACCAGCAACCCAGCGACCATCTTGCTGTGAGGCGACAGCACTACCTACTGCGCCACTGACTCGCCTAAATTGACATTTAATATATAAAAATATTAAAATTATTGTATAATATATTTTACACAAAAAAAAGCTTTATGAGTGTCTGGAGAGCAGTTTTTTTGCTTGGCGTGGCTTGGGTTTCATTGCTGACAATGAGTTGGTGAAGCCAAACATTGAAGACCAGCGTTCATGTAGCAATTTGCTGCTTTACGTAACACATGTAACCCAAGCTGACTTTCTCTCCATCGTCCTATCACAGGCCTGTCTGCGTCACATGATGTAATTACAAGTCTGAACCGTCAAGTAACTCTATCCTTCTCTGTCCTTACGTCTCCTCCGGTCTCTTCAGAAAAGCTCTGATGGATCTGCTGGTGGATCTGTGCAGTCAGTACCATCTGAATCCAGCGTATCACACTCTGGAGCTGTTGTCACCCGATGCTCAGCCCGTCAGCTTTAAGCCCAACGCCCTGCTGGGTGCCCTGGATGTCTCCTGCGCCCTGATCAAAGAACGAGTGCTGGAGGACAGGGTGATTCGGAAACCTCCACCTAAAGTGCCAGAGGTGAGTGTCTGTAACCCAATGTTTAATAGATTTTTGACCTCGTGATAATGTTTCTTTTTAGAAGGTCTTTACATTTAGAGGCAGGCAGCAGCACCTGTTACTACACTACTATGGACATCACTACTGTTGAAAATGTTGTATATTTACTGTGGTTTTAAGGTTAGCTATGTTCTTAAATCATTTGTGTTAGCTATATCTAATGCTCTTATTGTATAAGCAATTGTTGTGCAGTAGTTTTCAGCATTAACAAGATCTATAGTGACACATGAAATACTTTGTAATGGTTTAAAACAGTCTTGGTACCGATTTTTGCATAGCTTTAGTGCATGATGTCTTTTTCAGGCAAATACAATTATTAAAGCGGACATTTCGACCACAAGACCATTAAACGAGCCAAAAAAGTTCTTAATAATAGTAAAAAAAAATGCAAAAATATAGAAATTATTTGTTTTATATCTACTTTTTTTCATGTCAGTAATTTTCTGCATTAACAAGATCTTAAGTGACACAGGAAATCCTTTGTAACTGTTTAAAACAGGTTTGGCACTTATTCTTGTATAGCTTTAGGGCATGATCTTCTTCTCAGGCAAATACTATTACTAAAGCAAATATTGTACCACAAGACCCTTAAATGAACCAATTAAAGTTATTAATAATAGTGAAAAATACAAAAATATAGAAACTATTTATTTCATGCCTACATTTTTTTTTTCATTGCAGTAATTTTCTGCATATCAAGATCTACAGTGACACAGGAAATACTTTGTAACTGTTTAAAACAGTCTTGGTATTGATTTTTGTGTCTTCAGTGTATGATCTCCTTTTCAGGCACATACTATTACTAAAGCGAATATTTGGACCACAAGACCATTAAACTAACCAAAATAACTTAATTATAATGGTGAAAAATACAAAAATATATAAATTATCTATTTTATGACTACATTTTTTCTTCATTGCAGTAATTTTCTGCATTAACAAGATCTACAGTAACACAGTAAATACTTGGTATCTTGGTACAGATTTTTGTATAGCTTTAGGGTGCTTTTACACCTGCCTTATCTAGTTCGGTTGAATCGCACTAAAGTTCGTTTTCCCTCTTGGTGCGATTCGTTTAAGCAGGTGTGAATGTAGCAATCGTACTCGAGTGTGCACCAAAAGTGGACCAAAAAAGCTTTCAGCTTGCTTTCAGCTGGTCTAATATCATCGTACCGAAACATTTTATAAATAATATTTCAAAACTCCTTTGTTGTTTATAGTTTTTAGTAAATATCTAAAACCTTTTTTTCAGACAGGCCTTTGTAAAATGAAAGTTTAATGGCTTGAAATGGTTTAATTTATTTGAATTGTATATACCAAAATTGTTATAGCTTTTGTTTGTTTTATAATGCTTTTATGTCTTTCTGTTGTATTCATATGTGAATACAATTATGTATACATTATCTCCAAAATAAATAAAGAAACCCAACCTCTGGAGGCATCGAGGGAGCTGAATTGAGCGCTCTCACACAAATGCTGGCTTCTAAATACACATGACAACTATGTCAATGGAAAAAAGGTTGTTCCTTGCGCCACCAGGTGGCTATTGCGTTTTTTTTTTATGTAAATGTAACAGGGTTATATTGTATCTCTCCACTTGCATACATTAAAATACTAATGAGAAGGAAGGGGTTAACATTTATTCATTGTTTTACATGTAGAGCGCCCCCTCTGTTACCTAAAAAGAAAGGAAATTCATTGTAGTATGTAGGAGGAAGCCATTGCACGAGGCTGGTAGATTAGATCTGCGCTCATTTTTCTGTTCTAACTGTTTTCACAACAATAAAATTGATAAAAGATATATCAGAGTGAATATTTATTTACACAACGCAGAAGAGACGCAAAAGACTAGTTACATAAAGACGGCCTTTACAGCTGCAGTAAAGCATGTGAGCGCGTGTAGCCATATCTGTACTAAGACATCCTTGAAGTAGTGGTCTCGGTACGCTTTCAAACAAACCCTGTTGACTAATCCACCTGCAGTAGGCCGATGCGCTGTGCATTGTGGGATGTGGGGGAAAAGCATTTGTTGACAGCACTTTACCAACAATTTTAAACAGAGAGAGAGAAGGAAAAACTTTACCTGATGGATCGTTGGTGATATTTCCGGAAGATGACCCTGTCAGTTTAGCTAAATAAATTCACGCCTCCTCTTGAAGTGACGTGCGATGCGCCTTCACTGTTTGCAATGCAATAAAACATTGTTTTCTAGCCGCAGCTGCGCTTCATTCTCGAAATGTATAGTTTGTCTAAAGTGATGTATACAAACTATATAGTATACTATATATAGTATATATAGATGACTATAGCATAGTCATCTATCCATATGCAAAAGCGACATTTTATGTCTGCTGGTTTGTTTAGTTGCCAAAGTTCCATTGACATTTCTTCAAACGTTGATTCTGAGCAATCTAAAAGCAGTTTAGGAAATATGTTCAATAACATCTGGCCAATGAGTGATGTGGATTTTGTCACATGACTGCATTTATGTTCTTTTCAACTGGTTCGGAACAAAGCGGTGTAAGAAGGACCCAAAGACGGCAGAAAAATGCCAAAGAAGTTATCAAATTAGTAAAAAATTTAAAAAGAAATTATTTATTTTATTTCTACACATTTGTTTTCATCAGAAACTCATATTTTTGTTTTTCCAAAGATATATAGCTGTATAAAATAATATATTCATAATCTCATTGATATACTGTATAAATGTTGTTCAACGGTGATGTCTTGTTCGGTTTGAATGCATCAGGAGAGCCGAGTGATCATAAAGAGGGTTCGAGCAAAGGTACAGTACAGTGAGTCATTCGTAGACTCCGATCTGAGTTTGTGTTCTCTCTCTTTCTCGAGTGTCTCTTTCTCCTCCCCCTCATGTGTGAATATTTGATGAGAGTCTTACCTTTAGTTACCATGCATTATTTCTTCCTCAGCCTGCCTCGCTGGCCTCTCTCTTACTCTCTCTCTCTCTCTTTCGTCTCTGACCTCTGGGAAGAAATAGAGGCTCTGACCTCTGATTCTTCAAGAACAACAGTACAATCTGCTTTAGGCAAATGAAAGCTCACGTAGGTAACACTTTACAATGAGGTTGTATTAGTTAATGTGAGTTACTAACATGAACAAAGAATGATCAATACAGTTATTACAGAATTTATTCATGTTAGCTGATGTTAGTTAATGAAAATACAGTTGTTCATCATTAGTTCATGTTAACTCCTGGTGCATTAACTAATGTTAGCAAGGATGAATTTGGATTTCAATAATGCATTAGTAAATGTTAAACTATGATGAATAAATGTTGTTCATAATGAGTTAATGTTAGTAAATGCATTAATTAGCATTAAATAATGAAACCTTATTGTAAAGTTTGACCAATGCATATATACAAAAATGAAGCTACAATTTATTTTAATTATTATTATTTATTTTAATTATTACAATTAATTTGGGCTCACTTTGCCCAATCTTATATTAATCTGAAGTAACTAAAGAGTAGATCTTTTCTCTTTATGTTAGATTACATTTAAAGCTTAGTTAAAGCTTTCTTGTTCTCTCCGGAAAAAAAAAAAAAATTGCACTTGAAGTCACTGAGACAAAATCTGCTGAGTCAAAAGTGTGCAAGCACAGCAGCTTTTACTTAGCGCTCGAATACTTCCTGTGATAAATATAACAGGGAAACAACTTTTTTTTTTAAAATCATTGCCCTTTGATGCATACTACAGCAGAGCGATGAGTCTAGGCTGAGTTCTTTTGCTAACGATCACATTGGTTGGGCTTAGAACGTTCAGTACATCATTGATCAGCTGCTAAATTCAAGTCTGCTATTCTGCAATGAATGGCTGGCACCAAGCCGGAGAACGATGAGTGTGTTGCCTAACAATAATCTAAACTTCTAAGTGTTTTTTTCTAATGCTTTCTGAAATGCATGCTAATGTCTGTGGAAGATGGCAATGACAATCATCTTCCATATACTTTGAAAATGTGTGTTATTCACAGATACATACTGTTTGTATAACTGGAATGTTTGCTCAATTTTTCAATTAAAAACAGCCACCAAGGCCCTTTTTACATGAATGCATTATAGTTTAAAAATGCATATCATTTGCTACGGTTAAGCCCTTCCATCCATACTACCCCAGACTTTTTGAGCCCTAAAAAAACGCTTTGGAAACGCTGAAGACGCTGTTTTCATTTTAAAATGCTGTTGCTCTATTTCAGTGTGAATGGGCGAAAATGGAGGCTGCTCCATTAAGAATGCTGCCTGATTAGGGCTTTCTCTCTATATAAAAACACAGAGTTCAGTCCTGCATTCTTTCCTTGTAAATTTTGAATTGGAAAACAAACTCCCGAGGACACGTTGGGTAAATCTTTAAAGGGGACAGTGTAGGCTACTTCATAACATGGATCATATCACCCTGGCTATTTTGAAAACAAAATGAAAAAAACATGATACAAGGAACTGCCTATTTTCATTTTGAGATTAGCAACTTAACAGCCACCAAAAATGTTGAGGCATCGTGTAGCCACATAATTTTATGACCGTCATCTTCACTGTTGGCATACTAACTGTGCGTACACACCGAAGGCGGTGAGAGCGTCAAAGATTGCTATGGCCGCCCTGACGACAAAGCTGTCTGCCTTCAGCTCCGGAAACGAGAGCGTCATAATTCGCTACATTGAACTCGTATTTAAAGGGGCCATTGCAGCATATCATATCAGTTACATTCTCGCTTAAAACATGCTTTCAAGTGTGAAAATGCACTTTTTATCAAATTCATATAACAATGGAAGATCAAGTTGCATGTGGTGTGGCTTTGCTTCACCTAATTATTAAATGTGTCCAAATGTCTGAAATATCCTGAAGCTGCAATGCTGTTTTGTAATGTAGCAAGAGATTCCCGCTTCTTTAAAGAAAAAATATAAAACATTAATGCACATCAGTAACTTGCCAGTAACTTTTTTTTTTG